ATTAAATAGTTTTTGAATTCCACCAGGTAATAAATTGTTCCTGGCTTTATACATAAACACAGCAGTCTTATATCCCCACTAGTTAATAAATGAAAAGCATATTCTTGGTGCAGCAAAGATCAGTCTACTCCTTACTGCCAGTACTTCTCAGCCTGTGCATACAGCTGGACAATGTCTTCAGTGCCTCAGCGGGATCTTTGTCAAGGCAGAAAAAAATTAGAAGAATGAACCCTGATGATGTCATGGTGATGTCAACAGGGGTATTGAAGCTTGGGCTTGGAGGAAATTACTTAATTTCTTTAACAGAAAGGCTGGTTTACAAACTAGGACTTGGGATTTATAAGACATCTGTCTAAACATTTATCTGCTTGTGGCCTTTTTGAGGAGGATAACCATGTGGCCTCAGCCTACGGCTGGTGTTAAACTGTATTCTGTGACCTGCAGCAGTGCAACAGTGAGTTTGCTTCACGTAGTGCTATGTGCAATCAATGTGACTTGCGGTTAACTTTGTTAAGTGGGATGTATTTATTCACAGAATGATAAAGTATAAACAGCATTATTTTCACTATGTTGTTTTTACTTGAGCTTCCACAACTTCTGCAGCTGCAGAACAGACCTGCAGTGAGAAGCAAATACAGCAAAATCAAAAATGAGTGAGGACATGGTTAATAACTGTCATAGAGCAGTGACAAAATGTGTGGTGAGAGCCCTACAGTCTGCCAGCACAGTAAAATGTCCATAGTTTATGTAAGTATTAGTGTTATGATTATCTCACAGTTAGTACATATTACATATTTTACATGTAGTATAACAGTCTATCACATATAACAGACTACAGTACTTGGACAGATTCAATAAGGGATTTGAAAGGACTGAGATTTCATAAAACGCTATCAAACCCCACCAGTACTTAGAAGCACGGGTGGGCAATTATTTTCAAATATTAGAATAGTCATTAAACTAAAAAAAAAACAAACAAAAAAACCCTGAACATTTCATGCAACTATGAGACTTTAAAAACAAAGCGCCACTGTTTTCCCCTGCTTTTATCAGCACCTGGAACGCGATAACACGGTCAGTATATCATTTTACTACAGCACAAAATACAAGCAGCAGAAGCATGCAGAGACTGCAGCCATCGCTGGAGAACACTGGGGACTTACAGGTAAAGTCACATCATGCATACATGACAATGCTAGCAATATGCAGCTAGCCAACATAAAGCGGCTGGACTGGGACTCTCAGCAATGCTATCAAATAGCATTTTAGCTTAGAAGCATCAGAACTTTGTTAAAGTGTAATGCTAATTTTCTGGAATACTCCTTTAAACAACGTTGAAAAGGCAATTTGCATCAAACAATCAGTCATCCCATGCAGAGTTATGTCTTGGTTTGAAGGTTAAGAAAATGTCCTTTTGAGAAAAAAGCACATTTAATGCATTTCAAGCCTTCAAACCTTAAGTTCGCTGTTTTCCAAAAGCAGACTTGAGTAGACCAGAGGCTGTGTACAACTGTCTACATTTAGTTATAACTAGATTGAATAAAATGTTTGTCGTCCTTTCTCTATGTCCTAGTCTGAAAGCTTGGCAGTCTGGAAAATCTTCAAAGTAGTTTGTTCAAAAGACAAACTTTAAGGAAGTAAATGAACGACTTAAGGATTCTAAACACGTATGCAAACACACCATTTTATGTTTCTACAAAGGGTAACCTGAGGTTGTATAGAACTTTATAGGTTTGGTGACATATGGAGTAAAAACCATCCTCCGGCAAAAAAGCTGTTACAAAGCATACAGATTAAACAGACCAGCCCAGATTTAGCCAGTAAAACAACATCAGTGAACATCAGACTCTTGGACATTTACTCAACAGTCAAGACAAGCACATACCTCCCAGTCCAAAACAGAGGCTTGCCACTGGGCGATCTTGTCAATGTTCTCCAGCCTCCTCTTCCTTTCGTTGATCTGCTGAGTAACGTTCCTCATTACTGCCAGGGCTGCTGCCACGTATCGATAGTCACTGTGGACACAGTGTACACGGAATTACTCCTGCATGTTAAGGGGTAAAGTTACAGCCTTTGGACACTCGCCATTCTAAAAAGAACATGTACTGCTTCAATAATTAATGATAGAGAGTAGCCTATTAAAGATGGGTTATAAACTAGCTTATTATCAGTAAGCCTGCTGGAACACAGTCAAAATAACATACCACTATTTAATTCCAATCAATCATCTCTAGCCAGTTTCCATCTACAGTTAGCATTGTGTGTGCTAACTGAGCTGGATTCATCCCTCTGGCTTAGATATGCTATGAATCCAATCCTCACTTTGGATGATAATCTGCATGTGTGTGTGAGAGAGCAGGATTCTCCACAGCTTCGAACAGTCAAACACTGTGATCTGGCAGGCCTTGCTGGCACCCGTCCCTCTCTGGCTGGGGATGCGTGGTTTGTGAATGACCTGGAGCTGGCTAAGACACACTGAATCACTTACACCATGTTTCTGTGGGTTTACATGCATGAGTTTGCACATCTGGATGCCAGCATTATGTGTCTGCACACGAGGGATCATCTGCAAATGTTTATGTTGTGCATGGTGCTCCTGTACTGTGGATACAGTGAGTGGAATGTTGGTGCGTGTGTATGTGCCAGCAAAAGCACAAATTCAAATTTAATCTGCAATCTCTTTATACACAGAGCTGTATGCAATGATCCTACTGCCATATACTGCTATGAAAAGTACTGGACTTGCTTATGAATTGCAGTGCTCTAGCATATATTCCCAATATAATTGACACTCCTTGATTAAATATCTTCCTCTAAAACATTCACAGAAAGCTGGTACTGTAAAACAACACGTTCAGCAGTGCAAACGTGACCTTGGCCACAGTATACAGTACCTGTGCTCCTGTGCAGTGTATTTGAGAAGCTCAGCCAACTGGAGTGGATATTTGCAGATTTTCTGGACAGGGGTGAGCAAGAAGCCATCTATGGCAATGTCAATCATTTGCTGGAGGAGGCGACAGGCCTCAAAGAAGTGCTGGTACCTGCCATCCCTCATTAGTTTGCTCAGCTCCATGCAGGCGTCCAAGTGGTTGTTACAGTATTCTGAATAGATCCAAAAACCATCTTGCTGTATAGTAAAGGATTACACAGGTACATGATTAAAGAGGGAACTAAATTATGAATCATCTTTTCAATAAAACATGCTGGCGAGAAGCCAGTATGTACATATGAATGGCTATGGTTGCTAAAATGTAACTGGAGCTGTTTTCTCAAGGTAATGACTTAATTATCTAATTATTTTGAGATAAACTGTTTGCTGGTGACTTAATTATATCCACAACTTAACAGTTAGCTCAAGATAACAAGATAATTAAGTTCTGATGTTGGGATAACAGGCCTAACAGTATTAGCCACTATAGCAGCATCTCAGCCGGACAATGTGTTCATGTCTGTTTATTTAAGGGAAATACTTATAGAAATAATACTTGAACTCACGTGCTCTAAAAAGCATGGTCCAATTTCAGAGAGATGCGGTTCCTCTGTGTTGTACTGTTTTTCCAAGTCTCTAACAAAGCCCATCTGGAAGCGGTAAATGTCCTCGATGTTACCAAAGATGACCTTCAATTGGTCATCATTGAACATGTCCACACGCTTCCTGCACTGGCGCAAGTAACCCTGCAACAATATGGATTACAACAGCTGTGAGATTTTCAAAGATGACAAAGCTGAAGTGCTATAGAAATGCACAATCTATGCTTTAGCTTCTTCAATTTCATCTCTGTTTTTGTTCATTATTGTAGTAAACATGTTAAGGCATTCGCAAATTATAATTCATTTTAATTAAAATGATGTATGACCTTCTAGAAGCCTTTGTAAAAACAAAAACAATTTTGTGGAGGTCGAACTGTGGCCCCGGTTTGTCAGTCTAATTCCTGTGGTTAATTAAATGCCCTGAAGCTTTGACACTTGGGAAAGGATTTGTTGTAAAAGGCAGGTTTTTGCTATTTCACACTCCGCCACCCAGAATTCTCTCTGTCGTCTTGGTGCAAAACACTTACTAAGGGTTTTTGTTTTGTTTCTTAAAGTCAAGTTCATTCAAATAGTCAGAATTAAAACAGCGACTTGATATGTCTGTTCCAAAATGAGGCATCCTCAGTTTTTTTAAATGAAAAGAAGCATCTTCTTTGGTAGCCACCTTAGCAGCTAGCACAGTTATGACAGACATGGAGCACTGTATTAAGAATCAGGAAAAATACTAACACCTCAGTGGCATTTTGACTTCCTGTGAAACACTTTTACCTACATGAGAAGACAGTGTTTGAAAATAGTTATGACAAAGTATGAGCCTCTCTTTTAGCTGGCTTGTCTATAAAGCTATCAATCAACTTGCCTGTTCATGTTTATGGCAAGTTGGAAAATGCAGTGTGCTCCCACAGGCGAGAAGTGTAGACGGGAGGAGGTGAAATTCATGCTTTACTGCAACTATTTTTCAACATTACATTTCACCCAGAATACATACAAATGGTACGGAGAGGATTGCCAATAGATGATTAGATAAGCAAAAACTTACACTAGAAATTCTTACCCACGCAAAATTAAAGTGACGCAAACATATAGTGTTCTATATTCTGATATGACTGCTATGCAACTAGCACCCATGAATTGGCTGTGCTGGTATAAACAGCTTCAGGTGAACTATAACATTGTGAAATCTTACCTGAGCTAGCTCGTAGCTTTGCTAAACAGCCATAGCTGTTTTAACAGTGCTTCATTATGACTATGGCCTGGTTGTGATTACCTCTGCCAAGGGTGGGGGCAGTGTTTTTGCAGGTGTTTGTTGGTTTGTTCACAGCATAACTCAAATAGTAATGAATGGATTTGAATGACATTTTTTGGAGAGGCAGCACATGACCCACAGAACAATCATTTAGATTTTGGTGCTGATTTTTATCATCAGGGTTGTTCACATTGCCAGAGTTGGAAAGGCTGCTGACTGTATGTGAGCCAAGGATAAATCCTTGGGTCAGTGACACCTGCCCATTCACTGTCAATGAAAACTGAGTGCTGTCAGTCAGTACACCCTGAACAGCGAGGTGACAAACCACAGCTGGGGAAAGCTCTACTCTATGCAGCGACAGCTGGGCTCTCTCTGCTGTCTAGTTATAAATAAAACTAGAGAGCACTCAGAGAGTGCAAGCTCCGCCAAAGCGGCTCACTGTTCCCATAATGCCATTACACCTAAAATCAATATTCCCGTGATAGTTTGACCCTTATAATATGATTCATTGACCTTCCTTGACTTTGAAAATCTGTCCCAGTGATTTGGAATCATACTGACATCATTATTACCGTAGTCTGAAAACTATTCAAGAAAATATTTCATTAATGCTGGTTTTCTTCAGGATGTAGCTCAGTAACCTTTGAAGATATGTCAAACTTTTGACCCTTTATCGAATCAAGAGAGTTTAAGCTACAGTTTGACTCTTTATGCAAGTCTGTAGCATTATTTATTGTGTCACAGTAGCAGGTTTTCCATGAGCCCTGTAAATTTAAACATTCTGGATCAGCAGAGAATTACCTCGCTCCAGATCATACTGTGGTGTATAGTAGATCTTATGTGGATGGAGTTAGAAGCCAAAATACTGAAACTGTCCCTATCTCACAATGGTGAAGAATCCTTTAAAAGAATTACTGGATCTGGATTATGATCCAGATCAGCACCAAAATCTAATGGATTGTTCTGTGTGCTGTCCATTACCTCTCCAAAGAATTTCATCAAAATCAATTTGTTACTTTTTGAGTTATTCTGTCAATAAACCAACAAAGAAAACACCAGTACAAACATTACCTCTGCCTTGACTGAGGTAATAAACATAGTGTATTGGTTGTGACCTTAATGTCCATTTATGAATTTAGAGTTAACACACATTATTTAACAACATACCCCAATTGTCTTCTATCTATATACTGTAGTTATTTGTTTCTTTTGAACACTTAAAAAGAATGAAACAGCTCAAAGAATATAGGAATTAAGTTGTTAAAACTATTATCATATTTGGTTTTAGTTTCTCATTTGGTTACGTCATGTTTTGAGTCTTTATAAAAGGATAGCCATGCAAAAATGTAAGACATGAGAAGGCTTTAATTTTATTAGGTGTGATTTCTAGGTTGTCCCTTCAGCATGACTCATAATATGATGACAAATTTAATCTGGACTAGATCACTCCAAGTGCAGCTGCTGATACTACTGTGTAAAACTGACATATTTTGTTTTTAGTTTTAAGAAGAGCTTTATAGTTCGACTTCTTTGGGATCAAAAGAAAGAAGTATGCCTGAAATAAAAGTGTGAATGTGTCAGTGTTAAGAATTCAAACTAGATCTTTGTGTAGCATCAAAATTCTGCTTTTTCTCTTATTGAAGTATCAGTTTCTTACTCTTTACCTTTCCTACCATATCTCTGTGTTAAGGCATGACCTGAAAGAGCAGTGTGTATGCATACGTGTGCATGTTTTAGTACCTCACAAATGTCCTTGAGGTGCTTGATATAGTGTCTCTCTGTGCTCATGATCTCATTGATGACATTAGCTCTCATCTGGTCTCGGTTCTGCAGGGGTGAGCCCAGACACAGGCAGTCATTGGTTGAGTCCAGGTGCCCATTCTGCACCTCGCTCATCCCCTCAGCTGGCTCCACTCCCCCGTCCTCCTGGTTTACCCACAACTGGGGACAAATACATTCATACACCCAGAGTCACACTCACATGCACTTGAATAAGAAATGCGCACAGTTAGCGTGTAAAGCTGATGAAAAAAGGTATTAGTGAATTGATATATTTAGGTATTCCATGAAACTGGTATCACTCACGCTTCATGAACATGAATGCATATCACACACACCACACACTTTTCACATACACAGAGGTTCATTTAGAGAGTCTCTAGTAGCTTGGACAGTGAGTATGACTCTTGGTCCAGCATGTCAGAAAGATGTGGGACAAGCTGCCAAACACTCCAGAGTTTAAAAAAAAATCCTCTTTCTGAAACTGGTGCCCAGAGGATATTCAGTGCCGAACTTTGGCCCTGTGTGTGACTCAAAAAGAAAACCAACCTCCCCTCAGCACATATGCATGCAAATACACTTGCACACAATCTCACGATTTCCTCACGCAAGCCTGCGCTCAGCAACGCACACACACTGATCCGCATAAATAATGTATTCCACTCTCGCTCATAGAAAGGGCCAAGTGAGCGTGGTTTCTGATGCCCAGCAGCCAACACCTGATGACACACAGTTTGCCAAGAGAACATCAAAGAACCGACGGGTAGAAGGCCAAACACAGGATGAGAAATGCAGCGCCACAGACAAGCAGAGAGACGGGTGGGAGAGCACTGACTACAGACGAGAACTAGCAGCGCAGCATTAAGACTGAGAAATAGTCAGAGTCAATAGTAAATAGAGGACTGAAGAAAATCAACCATGTTTGAAATTGAAATAATCATTAATGTTAACAGGAATAATGATTCCAAAATCTATCTAATCCTATGTGAATACATTTATAGAATTTGAGTACAGGCCATTAAGAAGACTAATGTAAACTTTACTTTTGACTCATCAGCTCTGCGTCTCTATCGACCCCACTGAGGATGATGTGGTAATATCATGGGTACTTTAATGTCTGGCA